ACACTATTTGATCACTTTTAGTGACTTCTCTGTTCCATGTGACAATTATGTGTTAAATAAAGTCAAATTAGTTTTAACTTGGTGATATGGGGACCCAACATTATTTCGTGGGGGAGGATGAACCCAGAAAATTTCAAGATCCGAATATCAACTCCGGATCTTCAAAAAAAGGGAGGTGTTGTGGATGTGGAGGAATAGACCAATAATTATCATGTTAAGTCCAATGGTGTCCTTGGACTTTAAATGGACATTTCCTATTGGTCGATATCTGTTCACTTGTTGAACATTGTACAAAATGTTGTTTTCTATTTTTATGGTACGATGTGGTATGTTTGGTTAGTAAATAAATAGAGTATGTCTGAAATACAATGATTGATAACTCCGAGGCTGAGATTTGTGTTCTTGACTCAACTGGCTGGGATAGACAGGGAATCGGGACCAATCGTAACTCTAGGTCGTCCATTACGTTCGTACGTGTTTACGTGTCATTGAATCGATCGACAAATACGCTGCTCTCTAGTTTTTCAGTCAAGGACACAACAATTAGCACAGGATAAAAATCGACCCAACTAAAGTCACAACAATTTGGCGACGGGGTTGAGAAAAAAATTTGAACCCTGTAATTGGACGAGATTCAGCCTAATTGTTTCGACGAATCAGCATCCAGATCGTCATCAGCGTCCTTGAGCAACATTGGTCATTATTGCTACAGTTAATTTTCATTGCTGGTGCGGAAAAAATGACTACCTTTTCCGATCAATTACAGCTTCTACTTGAGCAACAACAGTAGTGTTTCAGAAATAGTCAGTTAAAATTTTTAGAAAATTTACGCACACGTTTGATAAATCTCCCATGTTTCGGAGATGCAACAGAAGTTGGCAAGTTCATTTCTCATCTGCAGACTGAGCTGGAAAACAACTACAGAACATATGAAGCTGTCTATAAAAGCCTCTGTGAATCCCGGACGACCAGTGATGTAAACGAGACAGTTATTCATGATCCGCCCAGTTGTCCAGAAATGTCAAATTCCGAAACATTCCCTGTCGTGGGTTCAAATCCCACTGTTCCTGAAACGTGTACAGACAGTGATGTACCCAGCTCACAGGTAGAAGATCTCTTATTAAATGCTCATAAATTAATTACAGTACCCTCCCACAAGGAAACAGGAAACAAATCGTGCAGTATACTGAGTCTAGCTGCTCCAAACAGTCCTCATCATTCAACAACACGAGATTCTGATTAATCTTATTACCTAGATCCTCTTGTACCAGAAAATGTGTTAGATGCACCAAATGATGATCAGAAATTTAATACAATTTTGATAGATGTTAATTATCCCAGTGATCAACTATTTACAAATGAGATTTTCAAGGAATTCTATGATAATGTCCCAGAAGAATCGAACGTTGATGATCTCATATCAGGCGACGTTGGTCCACACTATTTGATCACTTTTAGTGACTTCTCTGTTCCATGTGACAATTATGTGTTAAATAAAGTCAAATTAGTTTTAACTTGGTGATATGGGGACCCAACATTATTTCGTGGGGGAGGATGAACCCAGAAAATTTCAAAATCCGAATATCAACTCCGGATCTTCAAAAAAAGGGAGGTGTTGTGGATGTGGAGGAATAGACCAATAATTATCATGTTAAGTCCAATGGTGTCCTTGGACTTTAAATGGACATTTCCTATTGGTCGATATCTGTTCACTTGTTGAACATTGTACAAAATGTTGTTTTCTATTTTTATGGTACGATGTGGTATGTTTGGTTAGTAAATAAATAGAGTATGTCTGAAATACAATGATTGATAACTCCGAGGCTGAGATTTGTGTTCTTGACTCAACTGGCTGGGATAGACAGGGAATCGGGACCAATCGTAACTCTAGGTCGTCCATTACGTTCGTACGTGTTTACGTGTCATTGAATCGATCGACAAATACGCTGCTCTCTAGTTTTTCAGTCAAGGACACAACAATTAGCACAGGATAAAAATCGACCCAACTAAAGTCACAACAATTTGGCGACGGGGTTGAGAAAAAAATTTGAACCCTGTAATTGGACGAGATTCAGCCTAATTGTTTCGACGAATCAGCATCCAGATCGTCATCAGCGTCCTTGAGCAACATTGGTCATTATTGCTACAGTTAATTTTCATTGCTGGTGCGGAAAAAATGACTACCTTTTCCGATCAATTACAGCTTCTACTTGAGCAACAACAGTAGTGTTTCAGAAATAGTCAGTTAAAATTTTTAGAAAATTTACGCACACGTTTGATAAATCTCCCATGTTTCGGAGATGCAACAGAAGTTGGCAAGTTCATTTCTCATCTGCAGACTGAGCTGGAAAACAACTACAGAACATATGAAGCTGTCTATAAAAGCCTCTGTGAATCCCGGACGACCAGTGATGTAAACGAGACAGTTATTCATGATCCGCCCAGTTGTCCAGAAATGTCAAATTCCGAAACATTCCCTGTCGTGGGTTCAAATCCCACTGTTCCTGAAACGTGTACAGACAGTGATGTACCCAGCTCACAGGTAGAAGATCTCTTATTAAATGCTCATAAATTAATTACAGTACCCTCCCACAAGGAAACAGGAAACAAATCGTGCAGTATACTGAGTCTAGCTGCTCCAAACAGTCCTCATCATTCAACAACACGAGATTCTGATTAATCTTATTACCTAGATCCTCTTGTACCAGAAAATGTGTTAGATGCACCAAATGATGATCAGAAATTTAATACAATTTTGATAGATGTTAATTATCCCAGTGATCAACTATTTACAAATGAGATTTTCAAGGAATTCTATGATAATGTCCCAGAAGAATCGAACGTTGATGATCTCATATCAGGCGACGTTGGTCCACACTATTTGATCACTTTTAGTGACTTCTCTGTTCCATGTGACAATTATGTGTTAAATAAAGTCAAATTAGTTTTAACTTGGTGATATGGGGACCCAACATTATTTCGTGGGGGAGGATGAACCCAGAAAATTTCAAGATCCGAATATCAACTCCGGATCTTCAAAAAAAGGGAGGTGTTGTGGATGTGGAGGAATAGACCAATAATTATCATGTTAAGTCCAATGGTGTCCTTGGACTTTAAATGGACATTTCCTATTGGTCGATATCTGTTCACTTGTTGAACATTGTACAAAATGTTGTTTTCTATTTTTATGGTACGATGTGGTATGTTTGGTTAGTAAATAAATAGAGTATGTCTGAAATACAATGATTGATAACTCCGAGGCTGAGATTTGTGTTCTTGACTCAACTGGCTGGGATAGACAGGGAATCGGGACCAATCGTAACTCTAGGTCGTCCATTACGTTCGTACGTGTTTACGTGTCATTGAATCGATCGACAAATACGCTGCTCTCTAGTTTTTCAGTCAAGGACACAACAATTAGCACAGGATAAAAATCGACCCAACTAAAGTCACAACAATTTGGCGACGGGGTTGAGAAAAAAATTTGAACCCTGTAATTGGACGAGATTCAGCCTAATTGTTTCGACGAATCAGCATCCAGATCGTCATCAGCGTCCTTGAGCAACATTGGTCATTATTGCTACAGTTAATTTTCATTGCTGGTGCGGAAAAAATGACTACCTTTTCCGATCAATTACAGCTTCTACTTGAGCAACAACAGTAGTGTTTCAGAAATAGTCAGTTAAAATTTTTAGAAAATTTACGCACACGTTTGATAAATCTCCCATGTTTTCGGAGATGC